TTTAATCTATTATAACTTTTAGTATTTGTTTTTAGTTTTAATTATATTTTTTTTTTATTTTTCTTCATTTTTCTCTTTATATATTTTATTTATTTAATATTCTCACTAATTATCTTGACGAAATATATCTTATCTTGAAAAGATGATTATCCTTGATTTATTATTCAATTTTGAATACTACGTGTGTAATTATTCTTTGATTAATACGTAGATTTCGCGTAAAAATATTAAAAAATTTTATATATCATTTTTTGTATTTGAAAAAATAATGCTCTTTCGTGCCCTTTTGCATTGTAAAGAGCACTGTCCTTACTGCAGTGCACGGCGGACGACATCACGATGGTATCGTGACATTATCCTGGGGCACCTGCAGTTCGATCAATTTCTCAGACCGTCCGCGAATCGATACTCACGGTCCACCATTTTTCTCTACGGGGTGTCGCAAAACTTCGTCGGTTAATTTGTAAAAATCATTTTTTGTTGATGCATTAACAAATTTTGAATATCCGATGGACAAAATATTTTTGAAAAAATGAATACTTTCAGTCATAAGAAAATCGAAATGTAAATATGTGACTACTTGGAGTATCGAATAAACTATTTGCAGCAACATAAAAATGTTTTGTGATAAAGTTTTTTTTTATATTTTTAAAAATTTTTATATTTTTATATTTTTCGATTTGTTACTTTTCTTATCTTTTTAATATTATGTTTGTTTGATTCGATAAATTAATATGAAATTAATATGAATATTATGATATATTTTTGTTCTATATAAAAAAAGATCAATATGCTTGAATACGAATTAATATTAGTTTTTATAATATTTTTTTAATATATTTAAACACAAACAATACCTATCAGTCAAATTATTTCTTTTATTAATTGTTTATATTTATTATAATATAAACATTAATGTTAAAAAATAAAAATAAAATAGTAATAAAATATTTTATTTTTATATTTTTTGTTTCTTGAAGGATAATTTGAAGGATAAGGCTAACATAGTAATTGTTTGTCAATCGGTTTTTCATGCACTATTAATGTTTAATGTCGTTGATTTTGTCACGTGTTCGGCTCGCTGAAATGATCAGGGTGCGGTCCAACATGGCTACGTGAAACGGTCGCATCGATTTCTCGATAATTAACCCATTGGGACACCAATCGATCCCTCAACCAGACAACGGCATGCACGATGCTAATTTTGTTCTCTTTACAACTTCTTTGTCTTTGTAATATCTGTATATTGATCGAAGCTCGAGCGAAGTTTTTCTATCTTGCCTGACTTGCGAACGTTCCTCTTTCTTTCTTTCTTTCTTTTTTTTTTTTCTTCTTCAATAAGATCTTTATAAAATTTTACACGATTTTGGTATTCACAAAGTTAAAAAAATAAAACAGAGAAGCAAGTAAAGTCAATGTTGATTGCTGCCATATTTTGAAATACCACGAACGTATTATGGTTCAAAGATATAAGATTTGTACAATCGTAGCGTTTCTAGCTCAATATATATTACGATCATTGCATAATGAAGTGTCTCTTAGTGGGTCAAAGTGCATAGTCCCTCCGGCTATTCCTCCCTTCTCCCTCACCAATATCCCGAAAACGCTTCGAGTGCCTTTGACCGAATCTGAATTTCCGAAGCGGGACAGAGGAGGAATAACGCGCCGTTTAAAAAGCCAAGTGGCAAGGGCAAGCCGCGGACCAAGCAGCCGAAGAAGGTGAAGTTTATCAGTGAGTATTTGGATAATTGAGCAAATTTTTTTTTAGACGACGTTTGGAGACATATGGAGACGTGTACATATCGCGCCCGGATCGATTTTCTCGAAAACCCCAAAGCTCCCTTGGCAAAGAAAAGAAATGTCTCGGAGAATTGAGGAGAATCAGATCTCAGGATTGTCGAGAAGAGTAGGTTCTGCACCTTCTCTCTTCTCTCTAATTTTTATTATCGGGAAAAATTAACTCCAGATCCAAAAGATTCGAAGCAAGATGTTGCTTTAGAAAAAAAAAAAAAAAAGACAGCCTCTCCGGGGCATCTCGTAAAGTTTTATTTGCGAAAAATTATTTCGATGGACTTTTTTTTTTCAAATAATTGCATTAATTGGTGCAATCAATGCCAGTCGGGAGATCTTCCTTCGCTCGGCGAATGATTTTATCTGCGATTTTAATTGCGGCCGTTATGCACCTGCGTCGTGCAGGTTTTCTCGCGGCGATATGAGAATTCCAGCGTCCGAGAGTCAAAAGGGAGTCAAACCTTCGCTGTTAAAGATCGGTGCAATGCCCTCGGCGAGAATGGTCGCGCCAATGTGTCGCCGCTGAATTATAAATCGAGAGCGAGGGGAAACATTTGCAAACTTGTATTACTACGCCGTACTACTACGGTAGATATACGGCGATATCGATAACAACTTTTCATAGCGGTGACACAGCAGTTCCGATGCCATTTCGTTGTTCTGCGACCAAAGTAAGAAACGGACGGAAAAAAAAAAAAAAAAAAAAAAGAAAGAGAAAAGACAAAAATATTGGGAACGCGAAATCGAAAAATTTAATTACACTCCCGTTGTTCCAATAATTACTAGAAAGAAACTCCCAAAGATTACTACGCGGCAGAGAAATGATACGACACAGGGGTATGATGTACGATAATTACGGCACGGCAACGATGGGGTATACGCGGCGCAGGATAAGGAGATGGGGGGGGGGATAGAACACGGAGAGAGAAGGAGGAGATGGTGGAGGTGCGTGCGACGACGCTAGACGTCGCGGCGCCTACGGCCGATCGTTCTCTCTGATCGATCCCTCCTTGCCGCATCGCTCTCGGAAACCTCTGAGTCATACTTCCGCAATACCTGCCGGCGCCGGAAATCGTGGAAATCCCGAAAGCTGTTGCGCCGAGGGTGCCGGTACCTCGATTAGAAATTGTCAGCGGGATTATTCGAAGATCGAGTATGCAGCTGTTAATGATTGAAAGTGAAAATTAAGAAAACATTGTTCTCTCGAGCATTCTCGATCCTTTGGTACCCACCCTTTGATCCTAAATATGGTCTACTATAATTGCTCACTTCACTCGTGACGCCAATATTAATTTTGACAATGGCGCAACCGTGTCCCACGAATTGAAATGCGACGTGACGTCATCGAAACGTGAGTGATTGGTCAGTGCACATCGGCGCGACATATCGGTTCATATCATTTCATTTGACGATCATATAACGAAACTTGTATATTCTTGAAAACCATAAATACTGAGTTAATTAAATTGATTACACGGACTTATTTAAACGTTAAAACGTTGTCGTACTTCGGAGCGTGTAAAACAAAAAATAAACATGATTCTTTCATTTGACACATGTTGACAAAAAAACTGTTGGGGGCTTTAAAGGACAATAAATAATATTTTTATATATTTTATATCTGCTTTTAATCAGTATATGATTTTATAAATTATTATATAATTTTTATAAAATGTTAATAAGATATATCTGTTCGTTTACGAAAATCCTTATTTCATTTTTGAATTATTCGCTATTTGAGACATGGGGCAAAGCCAAATCTTGAAATATCTCGATCCAATATTGGTGACAACAGACATATGCTTTTAATATGGGAAAAGTGAGGGGCTAGCAGTCCATACTTGTATAAACGAAGGTATCCACGGTAAATTGAACAGCATTTTCATCATATTATCGAGAAACTCTAGTTTTTCATGAAACGAAAACAATATTATATTTTTATTATTTATAATTAATATTTATTATGCAAATGAATCAGTATCATAGTTGTGTGATCTCCTGTAACTTTTGTCTGAAACGGTTTTTGTTTCTTATTTTTCGAAACATTTAACTTTTGGACATATTGTATAATTTTTAATAATAATATAAATTAATGTTTCAAACAAAAATTAGGTTTGGAGGAGACAACATAATTGTGATGTTCATTTACAAATGGAGCCACTGTCGATATATTTTATAGTCGTTACTTTTTTACATAGAATTATGTATTTATTATTACATAATAATGTATAATATGATTTCTCTAGATATAAGAATATTACTTGATATAAAGTATAGTCATCAAAAAATCAATAATTTATGAGATATTTTTTATGAGATATTTTATTCTATTATATTTTGATATAAGATATAAAATATTTCGTAAACTTGATTTTTTTTGATAACATATACTTATCTTAACATTTTCATAATGCAAAAAATAATGAGACAAATTAATTGCTGTAGAACATGTAGTTGTTTTTAAAAAAAGATATATAATTATATAATTTTATATATTATATATTATATATTATTTTATTATTTTTTATATTATATAATTTTTTTTTTAAAGCAACTATATATCTTCTAGATTTATTCCATTCTTTTGTACGTAAAAGTAGTATTAAAATACGATTATTAGAAAACAAATAATTTACGGCAAATCTTATATTTTATGTTAGAATATCCATAATAAAATATAAAATATCTCTATACTGAACTATGATTTGTGTGTTCGATGGTTGTATTTTTATATCTAAAATAAAAGGAATCATATTGGATCATATTGAATAATAAAAAATATATGATTTCATTTAAAAAATAATGACTATAAAAAAATATCGATTCCATCTGTAAATGATTCAATGTTAGAATCATATGGCTCTATCGAAACTCTATAACTTTTGTCTGAAATGCATTTGTGTCTTTAATATTTTTCGAGATATTTGATATTTCCGTTCGGAGACACACTATATCAAAATTATTAGTAATATGAATTATGAATTATTAGTAGTATTAGTTATGAATAATTTAAGGGTTATCAATAATTATTACATATAAATATTATTATTATTAATTAATATTAATTATATTAATATAATAATTATATTACAATTATATAATGATTATCAACAATATATTATATATAGATTCAAATATTTTGCACCAAGAATATAATGTCATTATGTCTTTCGATATGCAAACTTTTATTACCAATGAAAATTTTGCAGCGACCGAGATCCGATGCCAGGAGAAGTCCAAGGGTGGACTGTGCTACGAAGTGATCCTGGCGGAACCGACGGTGCCCAAGAGGGCACCCTCGCCGCCGCAACAGCAGAGCCCGACGCAGCAAATCGCGATCGAGGACAAGCTCAAGGCCGCCGAGGAGCGAAGATTGTCTATCGAGGCGCACAAGCTTGCCGCACTCGCCGCTAAGCTCAGCAAAATCGAGGAAGCGGCTCGCAAGAAGGATGAACTCAGCGCAGCCTTCATCGCCGCCACCCGTGAGTCCTTAGACGCGAAAATGAACAACACGGAGGAGAAGCGAGAGGCCCACATCGCCGAGCTGAAGAACAAGCTGAAAGAACACGTAAGTAAAAATTGGAGAGGAGAATCAGTTTTAACAAGCATCTTGTTTTTTTTAATCGATTAATTTAATTAGAAATCGTTTAACAAAGCTTGCGTTAGTCTCTTGGTTGTACAGAACAGTTATTTGATGAGCATTTGTTTAATTGATTATATATATATATACTTAATTTTTCTTGCAGTTATGTATATACTTAATTTTAATTTTTTTTTGCAGTTGGAGAGTGTTGAGAAGACTCGCCTGAGCCTTGAACAACAAACTGAAGAAGTGCGGTGCGCCGTTGAAGAGAAACTGAAAACTGCCGCAGCTCAACGTGATGAAAATATCAAGAGAATGCTGGATCGTCTCAAGGAACATGTTAGTATAAAATCGAAATGAAATTTATTAGGATAAGGGGATTATATAGATAAATCGTAAGATCAAAATTTGTGTACATAAGAAATTTGATATAATGATATGTAATGATACGTAATATCTGCTTTTTATTTATATATAAAATCCATTACTCTTGAAGAAATCTGAATACAACGAGGCAACAAAACATTTTTAAATTCACTTTTGCAGCTATCGTTATTTTTTTTTCTCTCTATTAAGCTGCTGCTTTGTTTTGCATATTTTAACAGGCAAACTATACAGGTAGATAATAGACTTGGCAAGAATGGACATAAGTTATTGATTTACGGCCTGTTTTGCAGGAAGAGCAGGTCGCTCGCGTACGTCAAGGTATGTCGGAGCGCGTGCAGCAGTTGGAATCTCAAATCCAGGGCAAGTTGGAACAAGCACGCGAACGTCGCGAGACCATTGAGCGCGAGCAGAAAGAGAAGCTGCGTAATCATGTAAGTTTCTGTTTGGAAGTTTCTGTTTTTGTAGTTGATGTCTTAGTTTTAGACAGTATGTCGATCTCTATCAGGTTGTTACGAAATGCCGTCGATTTTTGGATAAATAAAAAAAAATTAAATGGAACCGTTTGTTAATATTGCGAAGTTCTGTACTCCGCATATTTTAATTTATTTTGTTTAATTCAGTTCCGTATCTGTAATTTTTGATTTACAAAGCGTCAAAAAAGAAAACAATATATTATAACAATATATAAAAAAAATTAAAAGAATTTTTAATAAATATAAAATTAAAAAGTTAAACATAGAATAGTCTTTATATTTTTTAAATGGCAAGATTCAATCGCGACAAAAATCTCCCAACAATAGAACAATTTCAAGAACCGACAGAAAGTTATGTAACAACTTAAGACTTCTAAAGCATTATTTCTGCGTGCTTTTGAGGAAGAGAAAGAAAAAAAAAGTAAAGCGAATCGGGCTGTCCCGAGATTTTCTGCGTAAGAAAGCATTGATCGAACGTAGGCGTTTGTGCGATGGTGGTTTAGAACACGGTGAAGATAGCGAAAGTACGTCAGATGGCGGCGCGAGAGCTCCTGGTGAAAAAGTGTGAGTTCGACAAGAGGGTGTCGACCGCAGAGATGAATCGGCAGCGGGAGATCCAGCGTCGCGTGCAGGCGATTCGCCGCCACCATGTAATTCCGTCCCCACATGCATTCTTAGTCGCAATCGGATCCCTGCGGACAATTTGTTGTACGATAAATCTTTCCCCGCAAATCTATGCTCGCGATAGAAAAAAAGATATTTATATCTGAATAATTTCCATGACTTCTTTTATATATTAGATAATACATAGTGAGACAAAAATATGAAAACTTTATATAAATTAAAATTTTCACATAATTATAAAAATGTTAGAAATTAAAGAAATTTTTATCAGATGTCAATGATATATTAAATTAATTTCTAAATGATTAAAATTGAAATCGGATATTGAATTATTTTAAAGAGATGAAGAGTTAAATTGTATTTAATCTATTGATCTCAGAAATTATTTATTTATCAAATCATAATTTTTATTGTGATACTTTTTGTATAAAAATTAATGATCAAATGTGAAAACAAAAATAGAGTAACTGTTGTTGAAATAGAATACAGAATACAGAAAGATTTTAGAATCGCAGTAAATTAAAATAGCAAGACAAAGTAAGATCAGTGTGACAAATTGTATTGCTCGTGGATCGTATTGAATTGTGTATGAATTATTTTTCTCATTTCGTATCCTTTTCCCCTTCCACCGTCGCAACAAATAGCTTGTGTTATATTTTATGTAGGATCACGAAGATGTTGCGTTTGTAAAAAGGAATGCTGTTGCCGCGCTTTTGCTGAATTATGTTACAGCTTTCATTTTATAGTTATCTTTCTTGAGCATGTGATACTCATTTATGACTCGTACGTGACTCGTTTTACGCACAGGATATGTCGGAGAAGGCTCGTAATATCGATGCCAAAATTTTATTCGTCACGTAATTTATATGGAGATTTATTAACAATTAGACTTTGTTGCTCAATAACAATAAAGTCAACGTCAATCAATTCCAATTGAAAAGGATTTGGGAATAGGATGTAAGACTCGGAGAAGAATGTAAAGATTTCAGAGTATCGAGATATTTGGAAATTTAAGAAAATCCCAGAATTCTTCTCTGACGCATCCTGCCTAAAGTATCTATTGCGTCAGTTTGCAATTAAAGAGCATGATGTATCTTTCGAGCTGTCTCTTCGATAGGAAAGTTGCATCAAGAAACATCATTCTAATCCTGTTCTTTCTTCTGTTTCTATAGGAGAGGCGCGCTAAGATGGTAAGACAGAATAAGAAGGAACGTCAGGATGTTAATCCAGTGGATGCGTCGCAACCGATCCTGCCGGTGGAGAACGAGACTGCCAGTTCCGGCTAAGTATCCGATGCTAAGGCCGCACGAATGCCCCGCAAGGCTCCATTTCGTTTTGTGTATTTAAATAAAAAAAAAAAAATAATAAACTCGAAGTAAAACGGAAGATCGATCACGCGCGATTTTGTCCGCATTTTGAGCGAGGGAAGAAGGAGAGGGAAAGGGAAAAGAGAGCTGAATTGTTTCTCCTTTACGGATCCTGAATGTCGCACGGACAATACTATCTTCATTACATTGCCTCTCACTTCAGCAACGTTCCACATAGAAAAAAAATGCAGGAATTTTCTTGAATTCTAGAAACAACGAGAGGGATCTACGACGATTTCAAGGAGGTTGTTGCAAAAGTTTGGTTTCGAGAAAGCTTTATGTGTGAATCTTAGACATCGAGGTACGGGGCACAAGGATATAAAGATATTCTATAATCAAAAAATGTGAAGAATGAAAAGAATTATCGCAAGATTGAGATATTAAAAGATTATAAAAGTTTAAGGTTTCCAAAATCCAAGAAATTTTTTCTATTTTTTTATTCATTAAAAATATAGAAATTACAAGAATCTATAGATCACTGCGATATCGAAATATATTTCGAGACTAAAATATCAATATTTAAAATTTAAAAGTTTTTTTTGCAAGAATATTGTGCAGAATCCAAAAAACTTTCGCAGCAACCTTCAGAAGATTTATCGCGGAGAAATGTGGGCATTTTTTTTTTTTTATATAAAAATTCAAGATCAAGTTAAAATTAGATTTTAAAGCAAATTTGAGGGACTCGAAATGAAGAATTAACGATTTAAATATATCCAAGATATGGGACTTTGGCCTTTAATACAAAGTAAAATAATAATAAAAAAAATTTTTATTTTCCACTTTGATTCACGCGATTGATGAGAAATATATCTGAAAGAGCCAAAAGAAACAAAAATACACAAAGATACAAAAAGACACTTTTTTTAATCCCTCGTTTATAAGAATTTTTTGTATATTGTATAATTAGATCTATCCTTTTCTTTTTTTTATTCACTTATGCATTGTCTTAATATGGTTCGAAAAAAGTACGACGAAGACTATACGGAAAAATACGACGGCTAACGATTAACCGTAATTATGATTCATTGTTTTGAAGCGAAACACAATGTATCGTTTTCGCGAAATAAGGAAGAGGAAGATGATTCGATTTAATAGAGATTAACGGATTATTATAAATCAATCTATCGCTACAACTTAGATACTAAGTGGTGCGACTGCAGCTTTGTGTGCATGCGCACGTAGAAGAGGATATGTGTGTGCGCGATGTGTGCCGGCGTGTGTTAAGCACACTCATAATTATATATATAAATATAATATACATATAATTATATATATATATAATGATATATTAATGATAATAATAACAATAATAATAATAATAGTGCTTTATACTAGGCTTGAAAAATTAGAAAAAAACATTTTGTACTCATTGTAATATTACTGCGCTAACCAAAATGAGATAACACTCACATGAGAATGTAGTCTAATGAATATGTGACGCTTCTGTGATGACTTTATTTGTCAAAATGTGTAACATTTAAGTGCGGGTGAGAGACGAGGAAACAATGAATGAATGAGTGAATGAATAGGAGAGCATGCAAAAAATATAAACAGAGAAAAAGAATGGAAGATATTTTGTTTTTTTCAAGTTAGCACGATTGTCGTGACCAGGGAAAGTTCATTCGCGTCAAGGATTTGCAACATTATACGGCAGTATAATTACGTTAAGAGTCGATCCTGATCCACGAAGTAGCGTCTATTACAATCGCTGATTTATATGCTTGCAAGAAAAAATAAAAACAAATGAAAAAAAGTAAAAAATAGAGACATTACAATATTTTCTGATATGATGATAAGATCTGCTAGTGAAATCGGAGCTTTGAAGCCTAAAGCCAGTTTCTAAATAATCTTCGGAACGTTTTAAAATTAATAGAAATTTAATGATATTGAATTTTACGTATGAACAGCCTGTATAAGAAATTAGGATTTAATAGTAAGTCGAGGCTTTAGAAAAAAAAAAAAAAAAAAAGAAAACGTAAGCGTTGAAGAATCCTAGAGATCAACACAGTGAGAGAATGCAAAAGTTTTCCGAATATCTAAAACACTTTTTAGATATAAAAAAAAAAAGAAAGATAAATAGAATGAAAAGAAGCTTGGAGAATTTAAGTCTTGGTCACAGTGCTTCAAGCGCTGCAGCTTCAAGAAATAGAACAGATCACAACTGTAATTGTGGTATTCATCAACTTGCATCTCATAATCCGGATCAGCAGTTTCCAAGTTTAAGTAACTTACTTAGATAATTATATGAAAATTTTCGTTTTTACAATATTTTCAGAATCTAGGAGTCGAAGATTTTTGGATCCAAGATTCTGTGAAAAGTAGTCGATTATCGCAATAGATAATTAAATTGAGTTACTATTTTTTTTTTTTTTTTTATTTTTATTG